CGTGCCAGATGCCTGTTCAACACCTTCCTTATTCGCCTGCCCGCAGCGCTCACGCTTTCCCCCGCCCTCGCGCTGACCGGCATTCTCCCTCTGACACACATGGTTCCTTGGCCGGTTGCCAAGGGCTCCGGAAAGCAGCTTCTACCGAAGGAGACTCGCCTCTTGCGGTTGCCTTCTCCGAACCCCGGAGTCGTGGCATCTGCCTTTCTTGCTCTTATTGCAAGCGGAAAGCTTTTGCACTGCGTCTGGCGAGGAGAACGTGTGACAGGACAGCACATGTTTGTGCAGCTTACCCCTGCCACTTACACAAGCACTGATTTGCAACACCCTATGCCACCCATGGTGTGACAGCTTTCTGTGCTGCGCAGGACATTTCTCTGCATCTGTAAAAAAAACGGAAAGCGAATTGTTGTCGCAGAGAGCAGCAACAGCAGTAGGGAGCAGCAGAAGGAAGTAGTGATCTTACTTCTTCCACACGACAACTAGCTAATAATCAGCAAGCGTGCGAGTGGCACCTGCTTTCCACTTGCAGTCTGAAAGTTTCGTGTGCCAGATGCTTGATAATCACCGTCCTTATTCGCCTGCCGGCAGCGCTCGCGCTTTCCACAGCCCGCGCGCTGACCGGCACTCTCTCTCAGACACACATGGTACTTTGGCCGGTTGCCAAGAACTCCGGAATCGAGGCTTCTGCCTTTCTTGCTCTTAATGCAAGCGGAAAGCTTCTGCACTGCGTCTAGCGAGGAGAACGTGTGACAGGACAGCACATGTTTGTGCAGTATACCCCTGCCACTGATGTAAGCCCGAATTTGCAACACCCTATGCCACTCATGGTGTGACAGGTTTCTGTGCTGCGCAGGGCATTTCTCTGCATCTGTAAATAAAACGGAAAGCGAATTGTTGTCGCAGAGAGCAGCAACAGCAGTAGGGAGCAGCAGAAGGAAGTAGCGATCTTACTTCTTCCACACGACAACTAGCTACTAATCAGCAAGCGTGCGAGTGGCAGACGCTTTCCACTTGCAGTCTGAAAGTCTCGCGCACCAGATGCCTTTTAAACACCTTCCTTATTCGCCTGCCCGCATCGCTCTCGCTTTCCACCGCCCGCGCGCTGACCGGCACTCTCTCTCAGACACACATGGTATTTCGGCCGGTTGCCAAGAACTCCGGAAAGCAGCTTCTGCTGAAGGAGGCTCGCCTCTTGCGGTTACCTTCTGCGATCTGCCGAGTCCCGGCTTCTGCCTGTCTTGCTCTTAATGCAAGGGGAAAGCCTCTGCACTATTTCTAGCGAGGAGAACGTGTGACAGGACAGCACATGTTTGTGCAGCTTATCCCTGCCACTTACACAAGCACGGATTTGCAACACCCTATGCCACCCATGGTGTGACAGGTTTCCGTGCTGCGCAGGGCATTTCTCTGCATCTGGGAGTAAAAGGGAAAGTGAATTTTTGTCGGAGAGAGCAGCAACAGCAGTAGGGAGCAGCAGAAGGAAGTAGTGATCTTACCTCTTCCACAAGACAACTAGCGACTAATTAGCAAGCGTGCAAGTGGCAGCTGCTTTCCACTTGCAGTCTGAAAGTCTCGCGCACCAGATGCCTTTTAAACACCTTCCTTATTCGCCTGCCCGCAGCGCTCGCGCTTTCCACATCCCGCGCGCTGACCGGCACTCTCTCTCAGACACACATGGTACTTTGGCCTGTTGCCAAGAGTCCTGAAAAGCGGCTTCTGCCGAAGGATGCTCGCCTCTTGAGCTCACCTTCTCCAAACTGCGGAAACCCGGATTCTGCCTTTCTTGCTCTTAATGCAAGCGGAAAGCTTTTGCACTGTGTCTAGCGAGGAGAACGAGTGACAGGACAGCACATGTTTGTGCAGTATACCCCTGCCACTGATGTAAGCACGAATTTGCAACACCCTATGCCACTCAT